CCGTCCGTCCGTTAGGGTCCGCCTGCCCGCCGGACTCGTCCCGCCGTTAGGGTACTCGCGTGCAAACTCGATGATGCATTCTACTTGAATGTCCCGCCCGCCCGACCCGACCCGTCCCGCCCGTTTGGGTCCGCCCGTTCGGGCCTCGCCCGCCGGACCCGTCCCGCCCGTTTGGGCACTCGCGTGCCATTTCGATGATGCATTCTGTGTGAATGTCCCGCCCGACCGACCCGAGCCCGACCCGGTTCCAGTGAAGCGGTTCTGGAGAAACGGTGCACAGGGGAAACGGTCCAGGGGAACCGGCTGCGGGGAAACGGTTCTGGGGAACCGGCTCCGGGGAAACGGATCGGGGGGAAACGGTTCCGGGCAAGCGTTCCCGGGGAAACGGAACGCGGGAAACGGTCCCGGGGAAACGCTCCTCCGGGGAAGCGGTCCCCGGGGAAGAGGTCTCCGGGGAAACGGTCCTCTGGGGAAACGGTCCCGGGGAAGCGGTTCCGGGGAAACGGTTCCCGGGGAAACGGTTTCGTATCCTCCATCCGTGAAATGGTTGCAACGTCTTAAGCTTCAGAATCGTAAATGGTGAGGAAGTCTCAGGCGAAACGTCCGGCCCGCCCTCAAAACTGGCCTCGAGGAGGAAGAGGATGAGGACCAGTGTAAACCCAAGAGTCACTAACGATGTTGGACTGCACTCTCCCTCCAAGCTCCCTCTTCACAGGCCCCTACAATGGTTCATCTCCACTGAGGGAACTGCCTCGTTGGAAGACAATCGTTTAAAGATCCTGAAGCATGCCAAAACCAAAACATTGTTTTCGGGATTTCAACGCCACTGGACAACCTGACTGCTGCGTCCTGACGATCTGGACACTTGCCAGGAAACCATTTGGGGGAGTCCAACACCGCGGACCAACATAATTGTTGCACCCGCATGTTCTTGAATCCGTCCACAACACCATTTCTGGTACGTTGACCACGGGAACCCGTGGAACTCTTGCAACTATTTAAAACGAATGTGCGCGGCGCTAAGACGAGAGCCACATGTTTAAACGAAACCGCCCTCAAGACGTGAAGCTGTTGTACATGTTTTTGACAAAAAACAAACAAAGAAAACGAATGTGCGCGGCGCCAAGGCGAGAGAGCCACATTTTGAAAACGACCTGCCCTCGATCCGAGAAGCTCTTGCAATTGTTTAAACGAATGCGCGCGGCGCTAAGGCGAGAGCGACATGTTGAAAATAACCCGCGTTCAGTCCATGAAACTCTTGCAGACGTTCAAAACGAATGTGAGCGGCACTACGGCGAGAGACACATTTTGAAAACGGCCCGCCCTCAATCCGTGACGCTCTTGCCATTAAAAAACGAATGTACGCGGCGCTAAGACGAGAGAGCCGTATTCTGAAAACGACCCGCCCTCCATCTGTGAAGCTGTTGCCACTTACTAAGTTTCAGAGTCGTAAGCGGTGAGGAAGTCTCAGGCGAAATGCCCGGCCCGCCCTAAAAACTGACCTCGGCGTGCGACGGGGAGAGGTTATCTTTAAGGAGAAGGAATGGAGAAGTTGCGAGGAAGAGGAGGAGGAGGAGGAAGAGGAGGAGGAGGAGGAGAGGGAGGAGGAGGTGCGAGGAAGAGGAGGAAGTGGAGGAGAAGGAGGAGGAGGAGGAGGAGGGGGGATGCGAGGAAGAGAAGAAGGAGGAGGAGGAGCTATGGCGCTATGGCGGACGCGCGGTGCCCAGGTGCTAGCCTGGCCGCCCCACCACAATCACCGAGGGAAGTCCATTCCCGACTTTGGCGGGAGCCCCCTCTCCAGTCGGCCCAGTGCCTCCAAACCCTTCTTGGTCGGAGGCCTGCACACGCTTTTCAAATTGCGGGCACTTGTGACCGCAAAGCTTCCACACACAGTGCAGAACAGAACGCCATTCAACTCAGATAAGGAATGGGTCTCGTGGCAATGGATGGCCATGGGATGCACAGCGGGCCCAAAAGCCGCGGCCCCTGGGCCCACAAAACCAGGCTCCTCACCTTCACGAGGCACGCGGTACTGGGCAAATCGCCCAGCGCTGCAGGGGCCAGGCCAAAAGACAGACAGTGGCCCCTTCTTGCAAAAACGAGCAGAACAGATACTACACTTGAACAGAGTCCTGAGCTCTACAGGCGAGTGGCCCTGTTCCTCGAGACGCCCACGTCTGATCTGCGCACTGCTCGATCCAGCGCGCGTGCGCACATGCTCATGCCCAACACGTGCGTGCTTAGTACGCTCGCGCGGGTGCTGCACCACAACTTCACGCTGGATGGCAAGGAGCCTACGAATTATATCCCTATTCAATATATCCTGCTCGAAAGTGATGGCCGCCATCTCCTGGGGGACAGCCGCTCGACGGGCCATCTCTCCAGCACAGGCATCGGCAGCTCCATTCAAAAGCCGTTCAATCGACGTGAGACAGAGGGCGCTGACCTGGGGGCCTGTGGGGTGACTCTTGGTCCAGCGGAGGTCGATGTCCCCTTCTCGGGCGTCAAGGACTCCCCAAAGGCGAACCCAGAGGTTCAGCATCTCAGAGTTGGCCAGCAAGGCCCGTGGACGTCGGAAAGCTCGCACAACAGGAAAGTAATCACTGAAAACCAAGATACGCCCATAAGTATACTGACACACATAAATCAACGCGAGAAGTTCAGCACGTGGGCTAAACTGTTCACCTCCCAGGGTCCCCGCGATGCCCCCATCGATGTTGTCCAGGGTAGCACCTAGTCTAACGCAGGCCCAACCACAACGCCTTAGTCTCTCATCCTTAGCGTGCTCCCCCCCCGATCCGTCGATTCCCCAAACGCCCCCTTGGCAGACAGGCAACTCCTCGAACGATCCCCAACCAATGGCGCTTTCAATCGCGATCGGTAGATGTCCAACCGTCCTGTCTAGAGGCATAAGGCCCCGACACCAGAGGGCAGGGCAATCAACATCACGAGCAGCTTGCTCGCGGAGGTGAGCTGTACGCTCGACAACTGGATCTGGGATGGAATCGTTACTCCTGCAGTCCCAAAATCTGTGGAAGGGGGTCTCACAAACCTCCCCGCAGCGCGGGCATATACCATTAGAAACCGTGTGGTATCCTTCCTCATGCAACCTCTGGTCAGTCCAGAAGCCAGCAGAGCAAAGGTTCCAAAGCAAAGACTGCCCCTCGTAATCGGAGTCTTTCCCCAATCGAGTGATCTCCTGTCTGAGGACCGTGAAATCAACTCCCGACGCGATTCCATACCCATGGTAATGCTTGGCAGCCTGGCTCCAGACCAGGCCGCTGCACGTGGCCTTGATAGCACGTCGCAAGGTCACGGCAAAATCCAGGGCCTCAGTGTAGAGGTCATTGCCAAAGTTGTCACGCCAATGCACTGGATACAATGGGCACCAGCCCAGGTCAAGCAAGACAGCAACAGTGGCGGCAATCGGCCCACGGACCCGTTTCCAAACTTGGTTCCTGGGGATACTGACGTACTCCTGAAACCGAGCCTGCCAGACCTGGGAAACACGCAGCTTCTCCTTATCACAAAGGGATTTCCAAAGCGTCACAAAACCAGATAACTGTTCACGCCGCAAACGAAAAATAGGATCATTCTTCTCGGCCCCGAAGACACTCAGGATGGTGGTAGAGCAAGCTCCAGCATGCCAGTGGCCAGAGCAGACAGCGGCCTGCCCACGCGCACTCTGCACTTGGGCCCCAGAGAGGCCAGCAACATTGTGGCCCCAGGTGCCTACTGCAAGCACGCCTGGTTTGTAGAGCTTAGACGATTTCTTGACCAGTGTAGTCAAGTAGCGCACTTTCTTGCCTCGAGCTGTGGCCTTCCGCCGCCTGGCACGAACGATGGCAGCAGTCCTCCTCCTTCCTGCCGTGGTAGCCGTACCCAAATCACGCGTAACATCTTCAACCCTGGCTGAGAGGCCTGCTGCTTTCAAATCGGTAGCGACAAGAAGTGCAAGAGGTCGTCGGCTCGCGACAACCGCAGACTTATTAGATAAAACAAGCTCGGCTGCATTAACCGAATGACCTAGCTGAACTGCTGCGGCAACAATCTGCCGTCGGACCTGGTCTTCGGCTCCCTGGCACACCTGGGATATGTCGTCAACGTAAGACCTGGTAGACACACTGGGATTCCCAAAGAAATACCGATTATGCACATCATTCAATATCTGATATAAGTACACCTTGACCCAGGACATAGACTGCATACATCCAGGGAGGACGCCAATCCCAGCAGGTATGATCTGGGAGCAGAAGCCGCTACTCTCGAGCATCCTGGGGGCCACGTGTACGAGGAGGCCCAGGTACAAGAGGTGCGGTGGGAACCTCAAAGCAGTGGCGAAACGAACAAGCCTAGCAGGGATAACAGTATCAAAGAATTTTTTGAGATCCCAGTGGATCGCAACACTGGAGACTTCCTGGAAGGCAGCCACCTCGTGAGACAGAGGAGGAGGAGGAGAGGGAGGAGGAGGAGGAGGAGGAGGAGGAGGAGGAGGAGGAGGAGGAGGAGGAGGAGGAGAGGAGAGGAGGAGGAGGAGGAGGAGCGCGAGGAGGAGGAGGAGGAGGAGGAGGAGGAGGAGGAGGAGGAGGAGGAGGAGGAGGAGGGGAGGAGGAGCTGCGAGGAGCTGCGAGGAGGAGGCGGAGGAGGAGGAGGAGGAGGAGGAGGAGGGAGGGGGAGGGCACCCTGCCCAGGACCATGGGGATTCGCAACCCGTGGCCTATCACCGATGCATCGGCGATGCGTCGGCGATTCCAGCTCGATGGCCCCCCCCTGCGCCAGTCCTCCCCCCGCATCGCTCCAACTCGATGTCGCCCTCTGCGGAGGAAGCGTCACCCCCCCGAGCCAGTCCTCCTCCCTTTGTCGCTCCCACTCACCATCGCCCTCGGCGGAGGAAGCTGGCGGCAGCAAATCGGCAGGGCCCCCGCTGGCGGAAGGCCGACGGAGGCCGGCGGAAAAACATGCTGGCCCTGCAGGAGATGCGCACGTCTTGGATCTGAGGCCTTCTGGAGAGCGAGCCGCGCAGCCTGCCGCGCTGGCGACCCGGGGAAGCCGCCGCGTTTGGTCGCCACGTGCCCTCGTGCGCAAACCCCCTCCTCCTCTCCCGTCGATCAGGTGAGGGCTCCAGGGCGGACGGCGCTGCCAACGAGGACCCGAGGGGGAGGGGGGGGGCAGGGAGTCATACCATACTGGAGGGCCCCGCCCTCGCGTGGTGAAGAAGAACGACGGGGTTACCTCGGCAATTCTTGGCCTGGGGGCCCTGTTACCCCCAGACCGGTAACGGAGAGAGCTCAGGGTGAGCAAGCGGTTATGGGAAGGGTTGCAGACTTGCAGGGGTCCACTTTGTGAAAGGACAGCGACGTCGGGGAGGGGAGAGGGGTTATAGGAGGAGTATGATGATTAGGAGGAGGAGGAGGAGGAGGAGGAGGAGGAGGTGCGAGGAAGAGGAAGAGGATGAGGAGCAGGACGAGGAGGAGGAAGAGGAGAAGGAGGAGGGGGAGGGGGGGGAGGGAAAGAGATGGAGGAGGGCGAGGAGGAGGAGCAAGAAGAGATGGAGGAGGAGGAGGATGATAAGGAGGATGAGGATGAGGATGAGGATGAAGATGCTGATGATGATGATGATGATGATGATGATGATGATGAGGATGATGATGAGGATGATGATGATGATGATGATGATGATGATGATGATGATGATGATGATGCTGCTGCTGCTGCTGATGATGATGATGATGCTGCTGCTGCTGCTGCTGCTGATGATAATGTTGCCGCTGCTGCTGATGATCATGATGATGATGCTGCTACTGCTGATGATGCCGATGGCAATCATGATGATGATGATGGTGATGACGATCAAGATGATACTGATGATACTAATGATGATAATGATGCTGGTGGTGGTGATGATGGTGTTGATCATAATGATGATGATGATGATGATGATGATGATGATGATGATGATGATGATGATGATGATGATGATGATGATGATGACGTTGATGATGATGATGATGATGATGATGATGATGATGATGATGATGATGATGATGATGATGATGATGCTGATGATCATGATTACGATGGTGGGGATGAGGAGGAGGAGGACGAGGACGAGGAGGGCGAAGAGGACGAGGAGGACAAGGCGGACGAGGAGGACGAGGCGAGGGAGCAGGAGCAGGATGAGGGACGAGGAGGATGAGGATGATGATGAGGAGAAGGAGGAGGATAAGCCCTAGCATGAAACCACACTACCTCCCTCCCGCTTCCCTCCAAGAGACGGGAGGCGGGAGAGGAGCGGGCAGGAGTGGAGGATAGCAGGAGAGAGCAGCAAGCAGTTGACGCAGAGCGAAGGACGCAACCACAGGGATCAGTGCGAGAGGAGGGGAGGCGCGATGAGAGCAGCGAGGCGGGTGAGGAGAGAGGCCAATTGGGCGCGCTCGCGCCCTATCCGACAGCGTATCCCTCCCTCGCATCCCCCTCCCACCGTGTTGGTTTCCCTCGTCGCGGACGCGCGCCATAGCCGACCCGGAAGGCACCCAGTGTGGCATGCGCAATCGGAAAAACGAGGGAGTTGCGTACACATATGAGGAGAAGGAGGAGGAGGAAGAGGAGGAAGAAGAGGAGGAAGAAGAGGAGGAGGTGGCGGGTGAGAAGGAACAGGATGAAGAGGAAGAGGATGTTGGAGGAGGAGGAGGAGGCGGAGGAGGAGGACGAGGGCGAACAGTAGCAGCGGGAACTGGAGTGGAAGGAACGGGAGGAGCAGGAGAACCATGGGAATGCAGAGGAGCTGAGCAGAAGGAAAAGGGGGAGGATGAGGAAAGAGGAGGAGGAGGAGGACGCGGACAAACATCAACAGCGGGAACTGGAGTGGAAGGAAGGAGCGGGAGCAGGAGGACCAGGGGAAGGGCGGGGAGGTGTGCGGTTGGGCGGCGGGGCTGAAGGGAAGTGTGACGTGTAGCAGTTGTAACACCCAAGCGGCCTGCTTAGCATGGGTGTGAAAGGAAAGGAAAGGAGGGCGACAACGAAGAGGAAGGGCGCGGATCCAGATAAGTGGCCCACGCCGGGGCGAGAGTGCCATTGTGAACGACGGGGGCAAAGCACCGCTCCGAAAATGAAGCGGACGACACCGCCCTCGTGGATCCGTGCCTCATGACGAATTTGCGTCTTCTCGAGCGGTAATTCTCGAAGTACGCCCGCAGTTCTGGCTTGACCCTGAACGTGGTCAAAACGGTTCTTCTAACCCTTGGGCTCTCTTGGCCGTGACCAGATTCGAGCACATCTTCGGCGCGAGGTTCCATTTTTGGGAGGTTTGGGAATTGCCGGTTCCGAAAGGTGTTTAGGAGCCTATGCATGGCTTGGCCGGAAACACAAATCTTGGGACGGAGTGTTCAAGAAGATGGAGGATCGAGCTTCGGTATGGGGGGGCATCGGTGCTGGAACGATGCACACTGTGGAGGCGTATCGTGTATTCATCGTCTCCGTGGCCTCTTTCGTGGCACAGCTTGATCCACTCCCTGCCGCCTTCGATCTGTTCGAGAAGCGCCTGATCCATAAGCTTTTTCCTGGCCCTGCCGACTGGCTCCCTGGGGACGTTCTGAGAAACCTCAAGCAGTTCGGCTTCCCTCGCGATTTCCCCGACGTGGCGCACATCGCCTCGGTGGCCAAAGTCTGGGTCGTGCTTCACGAGGCCCGCCAGACGGGCGGCTTGCAGGTGATGTCAAGGGCTGCGTCCCTGGCCTCTGGGGACAGATATGGGATCGGTGGGATTTTTCCCAACCCTCCTGCGTTGGGTTCTCGTTTTGAATAGAGCAGTGCGGTCGCGTCTCCTCCTTCTCCTCCTCCTTCCCGCCTCGTTCCTCCTTTCCTCTCCCCCCCTGCATCTCACCTTGCTCGTCGCCGCGTGGCTTGCCTCCTGCCTGGTCATCCCTGTGTGGGGGGCTGCGATCTGCGAAACTATCGCCACTTTCGAGGGCTGCTGGTGGGTCCAGCGGAGTGGGGTCATATTCAGACCCAGACTAGACCTCGCCATCCCTGGGGGGGCTGCGATCTGTGAAACTGTCGCCATTTTCGAGGGCTGCTGGTGGGTCCAGCGGAGTGAGGCACCACTAGACCTCGCCATCTGTGGGGGGGCTGCGATCTGTGAAACTGTCGCCACTTTCGAGGCCTGCTGGGGGGTCCAGCGGAGTGAGGCACCAGGGGGATTCACATTAGACCTCGCCATTTCTGGGGGGGCTGCGATCTGTGACCTGTCGCCACTTTCGAGGGCTGCTGGTGGGTCCAGCGGAGTGAGGCACCACGGGGATTCAGATTAGACCTCGCCGTCTGTGAGGGGCTGGGGGGCTGCGATCTGTGAAACTGTCGCCACTTTTGAGGGCTGCTGGTGGGTCCAGCCGAGTGAGGCACCACGGGGATTCAGATTAGACCTCGCCACCTCTGGGGGGGCTGCGATCTGTGAAACTGTCGCCATTTTCGAGGGCTGCTGGTGGATCCAGCACAGTGAGGGCCCCGCGCGGATTCAAATTAGACCTCGCCATCTGTGGGGGCTGCGATCTGTGAAACTGTCGCCACTTCCGAAGGCTGCTGGTGGGTCCAGCACAGTGAGGGCCCCGCGCGGATTCAAATTAGACCTCGCCATCCCTGGGGGGGGCTGCGATCTGTGAAACTGTCGCCACTTTCGAGGCCTGCTGGGAGGGCCCAGCACAGTGAGGGCCCCGCGCGGATTCAAATTAGACCTCGCCACCCCTGGGCGGCTGCGATCTGTGAAACTGTTGTCATTTTCGAGGCCTGCTGGGGGGCCCAACACAGTGAGGGCCCCGCGCGGATTCAAATTAGACCTCGCCATCCCTGGGGGGCTGCGATTTGTGAAACTGTCGCCATTTTCGAGGCCTGCTGGGGGGCCCAGCACAGTGAGGGCCCCGCGCGGATTCAAATTAGACCTCGCCATCCCTGGGGGGGCTGCGATCTGTGAAACTGTCGCCATTTTCGAGGCCTGCTGGGGGGCTCAGCACAGTGAGGGCGACGCGCGGATTCAGATTAGACCTCGCCATCTGCGGGGGGCTGCGATCTGTGAAACTGTCGCCACTTTCGAGGCCTGCTGGGGGGCTCAGCACAGTGAGGGCGACGCGCGGATTCAGATTAGACCTCGCCATCTGCGGGGGGGCTGCGATCTGTGAACTGTCGTCACTTTCGAGGCCTGCTGGGGGGCCCAGCACAGTGAGGGCCCCGCGCAGATTCAAATTAGACCTCGCCATCTGTGGGGGGGCTGCGATCTGTGAAACTGTCACCACGTTCGAGGCCTGCTGGGGGCCCCCAGGCCCACTGCGGCGGGGCCATTCAAGCACTGGGTAGACCTCGACCTCGCCATCCCTGGGGGGGCTGCGATCTGTGAAACAGTCGCCACTTTCGAGGCCTGCTGGGGTGCCCAGCACAGTGGGTACTCACCGCAGATTCAAATTAGACCTCGCCGTCCCTGGGGGGCTGCGATCTGTGAAACTGTCGCCACTTTCGAGGCCTGCTGGGGGGCCCAGCACAGTGGGCACTCACCGCAGATTCAAACTAGACCTCGCCATCCCTGGGGGGGCTGCGATCTGTGAAACTGTCGCCACGTTCGAGGCCTGCTGGGGGGCCCAGCACAGTGGCGCCACACGCAGATTCAAGTTAGACCTCGCCATCCCTGGGGGGGCTGCGATCTGTGAAACTGTCGCCACTTTCGAGGCCTGCTGAGGGGCCCAGCACAGTGTCGCCACACGCAGATTCAAATTAGACCTCGCCATCCCTGGGGGGCTGCGATCTGAGATCCCCGCCTTCGAAGTGGCTAGGGTTGCTCAGGGATTGTAACTAATCAGCATTATCTAGTCTTTGTCCTGTAGCCAGTGTCCTGCGAGTGTCCCGAATTCCGTCTGCAGACATAGGTACCCCTCGTTCCGTCATCGCCCCCTTCTATAAAGTGTCCTAAACTATTTGCGCCCCGCGTTTGCGCAGGGGTTGGGTACGTCGCCAGGGTAATTGTTTTGGGGGGGAAGGGGGGGGGATCTCGATGGGCAAGGTCGCAGGACAGGTTCGCCGCTGTGCGGACAGCGAGGTCAAGTAAGGAAATTTCAGGACATGGGGGAACCACTTTGCGGCCCTGGGGGCCCATGAGGTCGCCAAGCTTCACCCTTCGGACCCCGTGACTGAACTTTGGGTGGTCCGTTCTTGGTGGGTCAGTTTTTGGCGCGGCACCTCCAAGCGGTGGGACCCAAGATGGCCCCATCCCCGACACGGACGGATTCGGCTTGTGGCGCGTCGGGGAGGATCCCGAACCCTGACGGCTGCTTCAAGATCCCTCCGTGAGATCACACGGCCTTGCCCAGGCTGGACCAGGTTTTCGACGTGCTCGCCGCTCCCGTGTCGCTCGAGCCCGCGCCGCGTTCGTTCCCCGGGCGTGCTCTCCTGGCGGGGGCCGCCGTGCAGGGAGCTTCGGCCAGGGCCTCTCCTGTGCCAGCTGAGCGGCGCCCACGCCCGAGAGGCAGTGCCGAGCTCCAGGCCCTATTGCCCTTCGGCACGGTCGCTTCTCCTCCCCCTCTTCCTCCACCTGGTAAACCTGCCTCCTCCTCCTCCTCCATCGCCTCCTCCTCCTCCTCCTCCTCCTTTCGTCTTTCAGGCGCCCCGCGCCTCCGCGCGCGCGGACAGCACGGCAGCCTTGCCGGCAGACGCACCCCTCACGGTTTCGGCTGGGCCGGGTCGACCAACCCTTCACCTCGTGTCATTCGGGATCTTGGAGGTCGGAGAGGGGTTGGCACAAAGGGTTGTGGCGCCAATCGTGGAAATGTCACTACTGTCTACGATGAATCACCTCGCCAGGTCCAGCATTGGCACCACACCCCTTTACACCGCACCCCTTTCCTACCCCTGGAGGGATGCGTGGTGGGCTTCCGCGAGCGACTGCGATCTGTGGTCCTACTGCAATCCCCACGCGCCGAGGAGGCCCCACTCTCGCTCACGCCATGCCCTCGGCTCGCCCCAGCGCCCCCGCCGTCTTCTCACCGCCCGTCTTATTCATTGGTGGCTGTCTTTCGCCACTAGCAGCTCTGCCTCACCACCCACCTCCTCCCCATGGCTTTCCTTCGCCACTGGCACCTCTTAGTGCATGCGAGCGGTGAGCGAGAACGAGCGGAACGTCGTCGCAACTCCTTGGCAGGTGATTCAGGGCCAGCTTCGGCGCTTGAGCCGAGAGGGTGCTTGAGCCAGAGCGGCTGAGGACGTGCTGGCCCTCCTCCTCTCCCGCTCCCCCTTCGTCTCCTCCTAAGGTGGGGGCGTTGGTTAAGGACTGCGCCCAGGCGGCTGCAGACCCTGGACATTATCTCATGAGAGCGGCGGTGATTTCCATGGCCAAGCCTCGATTGGAGTTCCACCTGCCTCCAGCCCCTGGATTCCTTCTCCAATGGTTCCTTTTTCAATGCCCTCACCCTATTACCCTTCCTCCCCTTCCCTCCTTCCTCCGCCTTCCTTCCCCTGTCCCCTTCTACCCGCCCAACTTCCTCCCCCTCCCCGTTACGTGCCCTCACCCGTGCACCCGGATTTCCCCCGCCCCGTGAACATCCTCCCTGGTTCCCCCCTTTTCCCACCCTCGCTCCTTCCCTGGTTGCCCTCCTCCCCCTCCCCCCTTTTTCCCCCCCCCTTTCCCCCCCTCTCACCCCCTTCTCACCCTCCCCTTCCTCGACCTCCCCGTCCTCCCCCCTTTTCCCCCCTCGCCTCCTCCCCTGGTTGCCCCTCCCCCCTCTCCCCCCTTCCCCCTCCCCCCCCCCTTTCCCCCCCTCTCCCCCCCACCTCCCCCTCCCCCCCCCCCCTTTCCCCCCCAGGAGTACCTGAACCACGCAGAGGCTCAGGACGTCTGGGCCGGCGCCGGCCCCGGCGGCCGGTTTCCGGCACCTCCGCGTGCCGCGCGGTCGCGCGGCCCATGCTCGCCGCCCGCGGTCGCGGGCGCTTTCGATCCTCCTCGGTCTGCGAGCGAGGGCCGACGATGGTGATGCTGCTGCTGCTGATGATGGTGATGATGATGGTGATGATGATGATGATGATGATGATGATGATGATGATGATGATGCCGATGGTGATGGGGGTGGTGAGGGTGGTGATGCCGATGCTGATATTGATGTTGACGTTGATGATGAAGACGATGATGATAATGACGATGCTGCTGGTGCTGATGGTGCTGATTATTATGCTGATGCTGCTGATGACGATGATGATGATGATGCTGAGGATGATGATGCGGATGATGATTATTGTTACTAGTCTGATAAAGATGATGCTGCCGATGATGATGATGCTGCTGCTGATGATGCTTATGATCTGATGATAAGGATGATGGTGATGATGAGGATGAGGATGAGAATGAGGATGAGGATGAGGAAGAGGAGGAGGAGGAGGAGGAGGAGGAGAAGGAGGACCAGTGCAAACCCAAGAGTCATCAGCGATGGCGGAGTAAACCTTCCCTCCAAGCTCCCTCTTCCTCGGCCCCTGCAACGTTTAACTTCCATGGATGGAACTGCATCGTTGGAAGACACCCGTTTGAAGAACCTGAAGCACGCCAAAACATTGTTCTCGGGATTCCAACGCCACGGATCAACCTGACCGTTGTGTCTTGACGGTCCTGAATCGTGCCAGAACGCCATTGTTAGGACTTCAAAACAAAGAATCAACGTAACTGTGGCGCCCGCATGCTCCGAAATCCTTCTCAAACACCATTGAAGGAACGTTGCTGATGGGAATCCGCAAGCTCTTGTAAACTTTCAGAACGTATGTGCGCCGCGCCAAGGCGAAAGCCACATTTTGAAAACGACCCGCGCTCAATCTGTGAAACCCTTGCATTTTTTTTAAACGATCGCGCGCCGCGCTAAGGCGAGGGCCACATTTTGAAAGCCACTCGCCTTCAATCTGTGAAGCTCTTGCATCTCTTCAAAACGAATGTGCGCCGCCCTAAGGTGAGAGCAACATTTTGAAAACGGCACGCCCTCAATCCGCCAAGCTCTTGTAAACTTGTAAAACGAATGTAAAACGAATGTGTGCCGCGCTAAGGCGAGAGCCACATTTTGAAAACGACCCGCACTCAATCCGCGAAACTCTTGCACATGCTCAAAACGAATGTGCGCCGCGCTAAGGCGAGAGCCACATGTTGAAAACCACCCGCCCTCCATCTGTAAAGCTGTTGCCAACTTTTGAGCTTCAGAGTCATAAGTGGTGAGGAAGTCTCAGGCGAAACGGCCAGACCGCCCTAAAAACTGGCCTCGCGGTGCGACACGCGGAGGTTATTATTTCTACGGAAAAGGAATGGAGGAGGACGAGGAGGCGGAGGCGGAGGCGGGGGAGGAGGGGGAGGGGGAGGAGGAGGAGGAGGAGGAGGAGGAGGAGGAGGAGGAGGAGGAGGCGGAGGAGGCCTTGGAGGAGGAGGAGGAGAAGGAGGAGGAGGAGGACGAGGAGGACGAGGAGGACGAGAATGAGCCCAATAGTTCTGAATCAGCGAGGCTGCAAATCGCCCTCCCGGGACCCTCCCTGCCCAGGGGGCACGCACCGGCAGGCCCAGCAGGGGCACGCGCAGCAGCGCCCCGGGCCCGCGAGCACCTCGCGCTGCTCGTCCAGGAGCCCCTCTGTGCGACCCCGGCCGAGAGCGAAGTCGGGCACGTCCCTCTCCAGGAGGAGCACTCGAGAACAGCAATAGCAAAAATAGTCGGGGGACGATGTTTCGGCTGTGTTTCGCTACCTTAGACGTTTTTTTGTTTTTTCTTTTTTTGTTTTTTTCTATCTTTTTTCTTTAAAAGAAAAGTCAACTATGTGTCACTTTTCCTCTTAAATCCGCCTGCAGGAGGACATGCCCGACCTGAGCCGAGAGCTCGCCGCTGCCGCCGTCGGCTTCGGTGAACTCCGCCGATGTGCCCAGGCCAACGGTCTCCTGCTACACCTCGGGCAGCTGCGCCAGGGGCTGGACGTGGTCGCTGCGCCCGCCTGCGGCTGCTCGTCGTGCGCGAGCTCGATTGGTAGCACTCCCACCTATTGTTATGCTGCTCCAACCTACTGTAGCCTTGATCACCCGAAAGGATTTCGAGCACCAGAAAAGTAATCAAAAACTCAAGGGTTCTCACGTGTCGGACCCTGGGAGACACTCGCCCGACACTGTTTTGACACTCTTTCGACACTTTTCCGGGTGCTCGACATTAGTTCTGAGATGTGGTCGTTAAGTACGATGGGAGCAACATAAACCTAATGCTGGTTTGCTGCGAAGTCTGGTTCTAGTTTGGTCACGGCCTTGCCCCCCCCCTCCCGCTCGCACTTGCCGGACAGTCGCAAGACCAGAAACCCACCGGCTGGTCAGTCCGCTGTTGTGCAACCAGCGCCTTCCTGTGAAACGTAGGGCTGGTCCTACAAGCACAGAGATCAATGCCCCGTGACTTGGGCGGCATCGAGATAGCATTCCAAGAAGCATTCCAAAATAGCATTTCAAACATCGGTTCAAAAAGGAAATATACATAGGAGCGAAGTGAGGCGATCGACTGCAAGGGGGGCAGCTGGTCGAGCAGCCGGGGCTGCGCAGGTCCGCGGCATGGGCTGGAGGCGCCCCCCGATGTGCTCGGGGCCTCGGAGGCACGGGCCGGCTGCTTGGAGGCGGGGCGCGCCTGGGTTGGGAGCGCGGTTGTGTGGGGGCGGGGCTGGAGAAACACACAGGGTCGGAGGTCGGGAGCCTCGAGACGGGGGTCAATGCAAACGGGCGTCAGCCAGGGCACCAGATCCTGCAGGATCCTGCGAAGACCCCCTCTGGCTGACCCGAGTTAGCGAGCCGCTCGTGGCCGCGAGGCGGCCGCGCAGATTGGCTGACCCGGGCTTGGTCAGAAGATCCCCGAGGAAGAGGGGCATGGCGCGCCTTGCGCCAAGGCGCTGCGCGGCGTGCGGGCTCCTCGTGCGAGTCGTCGACCGGCGATGTCCTTGTCCCGTGCAGGGCGGCACGAAGCACCCGGGCATTCCAATTGGGCCGAAGCAGCGCTGGGCATCGAGGACATGTGACCTGGGCTGGGCCATTGGCCCGTCGGCGCCCCCAATGTCGCCAGCGCAGGTATTTAGCATCCCCAAGGAGGATCACAGCATGCCGAGAACAGGACCCCCACTAGTGCCCTGAATCGTGCGCCAAGAAGGGAGCAAAAACCGAACGGTCCTCGCCGCACAGAGCGCCACAAGAAGCTCCACAAGAAGGGCAGCGTAATGTTTGTCCCTGTGCGGGCACGCGCGCGGCGAAGGTCGAGTGACCTTTTTGTTTTGCTTTTCGGTGAGATGTTGGTGCATTTGGTTGCCATGCTTGGACGCTTGGTTTTTGCGGGGCAGTTGAGCGGCAATATGTTGTGGACAACGTGTTGCGGCAACACTTGCTGTTCCTTGCCGCCACCGCTTGCTGACCTGCGTCTGGTTGTCTTGGTCCACTTGGCACCCGCGGACCAGAGAAGATGCCGCAACATGCTCGGCGCATTTTTGCGGCGCAGTCTTGTGGCAGCTACTGTGGCCGAGTTGTTGCCGCGCATTTGTGTGGCAATGTTTGTGGTGCGCGGCTTGCTGACGTCGCAAGTGTTTTGGAAATCTTGTCCTGGCGCTTCTCCTGCGTGGTAACTTGCCCTTCGCCAGAGCATATCTGGTTTTTTCGGGAGGCAATCTGGGACGCCCCCCCCCCCCAACCACGCCTCCAGCCCGGCCATGCCGTGAGACGTTCCTCATCGCGACGCACTTTTGCATGCGGGAACATGGTCCCGCCCGTTGCCAGGAAGGAAAAAAAAGACGCAGACACAAGTCATCGTCGATTCCCCAGGACATAGGGGAAAATATGGGAAGTGGGGGGGAAGACAAGAACCCTGGAAATATTGGAAAATAGAGGGAATCCAGCTATGTGTGTCTATTTATCTGTGTGTCCCTGGGCCCCCGGCCGTTGGTTCAGGCCACTGCGCGCGCGCGATGCCTTGCACCGCTGCGCCTGGTGTTTTAACTGTGCTGTGGGCCGCCGCGGCTCGTTTTGGCAGAGATGTGCCGTGCGCTGCCTGTTGCATCGCAGCTTCGGTGTTGGCTGCGCTTACGTCGGGCATGTCCCTCGACAGGAGGAACATTCAACTATAATAAAGAAGAGTCTGGCGGCGATTTTTTGATTATGTCTGAACAAGTTTGGCTATTTGTTTTTCTGCCAACATCCGCATGTGGGAGGACATGCCCGACCTAAGTCTACGCCGCGCGCTGCCCCTGGCACCCACGCTGTGGGCCAGCCCGCGGAGCGCATTGCACTCCAGCGCTCGCAGAAGCCGGCTCTTGCGCCCGGCATGGAGCGAGGAGTTGGTGGATTTGCTCCACGCCACGCGCGCCGTTTTCGTTTTTCGTGTTTTCGTTCTGGCGCTCCCTATGAGGGGGGTGGCACACGTCGAGGGATGGGCCTCCGCGACCTAATGCGTCTTGAGAGCACCGCGCAGGTGCTTCGGGAAGTCCAGGGCCTCGCTTGATAGGCGCACGAGTCGCGCATCGATCTTGGCGATCTTCGCGCTCATGTCGTCGTCCGAGGTGTCGTCCGAGGTGTCCTCGTCCGAGGCGTCCTCCGCCCGCGGCTGTTTGTGCCGCGCCAGAGGAGCTCCGAGCTGGCAGCATGCGCGCTACGCGAGCGGGAGGGTTCTGCCCCCTCTGCGACGGCATTCCTTCGAGCGGCCGAGGGCCGACTCCTGCTGCACACACTCTCAGACGCCCCGGTCAGGCTCCAGCGGCATCCCAGACGTCGATGCAAACGGGGTGTCGTTGCTGCCGACGTCCGCCTCGATGGGATCGGGCGGCCTCCCGGACCCAGACGACCTGGCGCCGACGCCCCCGCGCTCGGATCTGTCGCTCCACTGCCAGCCCCGCTCGGCGCGCCTCGGCGGCAGGCCGACAACACGCTTGAAGGCTGGGCGCCTCCGCCCGCACGTGTCCGAGCAAGGCGACGCCCCGAGGGCGCTTGCACTCGAGGGGGGAAGGGCACACGCACCAACCGCCACGCCACGCCTACAGGGCCACGGCCACATGGGGGGGAGCAGGGCCCCATTCGCGAGAGGCCTCCGCGAGGCGGATGGGTATACCGTATACCCATTCGGCGAAGGGGGAGGGTCGATCTCATCAGCACTGGGGCGGTGCGGGGAGGGGCGAATCCGGGATCATATTGGTGGCCAGAGGAGGAGGAGGAGGAGGAGGAGGAGGAGGAGGAGGAGGAGGAGGAGGAGGAGGAGGAGGAGGAGGAGGACGAGGAGGAGGAGGAGGAGGAGGAGGGGGCGGAGGAGGAGGAGGAGGAGGAGGAGGAGGAGGAGGAGGAGGGAGGAGGAGGAGGAGGAGGATGAGGAGGAGGAGGAGGGGGCGGAGGAGGAGGAGGAGGAGGAGGAGGAGGAGGCGGAGGACAAGGAGAAGGAGAAGGAGAAGGAGAAGGAGGCGGAGGCGGAGGCGGAGGCGGAGGCGAAGGTGGCGGCGGAGGCGGAGGCGGAGGCGGAGCAGGAGGAGTGGTGTATTCGGGCCTGGGCGGATCTCGGCGTCCATCTTGGCGTTTGCGGCGAGTCCCGATCACGTGCTGTTTGATGTCGGCTGTCGAATGCCTCCTGGAATGGAGGCATGTTTTTTGTGTGAGGAGGAGGACGAGGAGGAAGGGGAAGAGGGAGGGTACAGGTGAGATGAGGGGACCTCCTCGCGGGTCTCCAAAGAAGTTTCTGCTCATGAGGTCGGAGCGGACCCATCATCGTGAAGTATGATATCCAGAACGACGCCGAGGGGGACAAGGACGGCGCGGCGTTCGTGCTCCAGGGCTCGCCGGAGGGCGCGGGGGGTGACGGGCTGACCGTCTGGGCTCCGGGGGGGGCGTCCCAGAAGGAGGAGCAACTCCTCATCCTCCAGTAATGGGACAAAGGTCGAATCTTCGTGTTCGACCCCGTGTTTCCCCCCCCAGATTCAAAGTTGGTTCGGGCCTAGTGGCGGGGGCCCTGGGGGTTCCACCTTTGTCCTCTCACGCCTGTGATACCGAATTCTGTGTGGGGGGGGGACGGAGTGAAGGGTTCATTTTTTTATCCATCTACGGTCCCGTTTGTATCTTCCTCGGCGTGCCCAACATGCCACGCCTGGTCTATCATGGTGACGAGTCCGAAAACCCGCAAGGGCCGTAAGGACCGTGAGGACCCGAGTGAGAACTGCAGTGAACAATGCGAGCACCGTGAGGACTGCAGTGACACCCCCCTCATCTTTCCCCCCTCATCTTTCTTTCTTCCTTGTCCTCATGGCCCTCACATGTTCAACGGCGGTCCTCACTCTTGTCCTCACGGCCCTCACATTTTTTCCTGCGGCGAAGCCGCCAGTGACGGTAATGGGACAAAGCGGTCGAAACCCTTCGTGTTCGACCCCGTGCTCTTTCCTTCCCCCTTCCCCTGTATTCAAAGCGGGGTCGGGCCCAGCGGAGGCCCCGGGGGGGTCACTTTTCTCGTCCTCTCACGCCCGCGCCGCCGAACGCGTGGGACCAACTTTGAATCTGCGGAGAGGGGGGGGCGCGGAGTGAAGGGTCCATCCACAGTCCCTCCTGCGTCTTCGGCTCGGGCGCCAGGGCTGGCTCGTGCGGGAGGGGCGCCAGCACGCAGGCAGACGTGCGCGGAGCTGGGACCCCGCGTCCTCGGCTGCACTGCGAGGAGGGGCCGTCGTGGCGCCCAGCTTCTATCATCCAGAACTTTGGCCCGGCCAGGGGTGCCGACTCGTCCAGGACATCGGCAAGCTAGATCCCAGCTAGGTCCTCCTGCTCCTCTCCTCCCTTCTCCTCCGCCTCCACCACCTCCTCCTGTATATCGGCCTGTGCCGGGGGCTGGCTTCCTCTTGGACAGGATGCTCGCCAGCCACGCAACGAGTCAACCTCAACGCGGGAGACTCCGGCTCCCTGCGCGCCGCCGCGCGCAGGCACTACTACGACTTCGGGCACTGGTTTTATGTTCCCCCAGCGGTCCTGTGTAGTTATGGCCCTCGTTCCGGGTTCGCTGAGCCGCGCGTGTGCGCCTTCTCCTCCCACTTCCTCTTCCCCCCATCCTTAGGTCACACCTCCTCCTCCTCCTCTTCTTCCTCCTCCTGTTCCTCCTTCTCCTCCTCTTCTCCCCGTAGACATTTTGACTCAAGGCAGGTTTTACCCCCCGCCCCGACTCCAGAGGCTCGAGGCCGAGGTGGACGGGCAGCCCCTTCCACAGGACTGGGCTGCCGTGGCCAGCGTTCACAGGAATGGGCTGCCTTGGCCAGCGCTCACCATCTACACCTTTTTCAGCCTCGTTGCTTCTCTGGCCACCGCGGCACACGGCCAGCACTTCTCCTCAACTTCGGAAGAAACAGAGCTGTCTTGTGTGCCAGTCTTCGGGTTGCACGGGATGGACCTGGGCAGGAGAATCTGGACACAAGCGTTGTGGCGACTATGGCAAACAAGTCTCTCTACAACCTCCTTGTGGAACCGCCGACTCGAGTGAAGGGCAAGGCAGCCAACACCAGAAGGCAGAGCGCAACCGCTGGCCACTCTGCGGCATGGCCTGCTCACGGGAGCCTGGCCATGGTGCAGCGTCGCCTCCAGCCAAAGCAGGACGTCTTGAAGAAGATCCTGACAGCAAAGATGAGGTATCCATATGGATCCAAGCAGCTCAGTTCTGTGAGAAGGCAGTCGGCATTTCTGGCAAGCAGTACGTCGCTGCGCTTCCGGGGCCGGGCCTCGGGCGGGCCGGAGTCGGGCCCGCTGAAGGGCTCTCTCTCCTGGCCGGGCCTGCGTTGGGGGAGGCCTGCGTCGATGAGGGCGTGGCTAAAACAGGGCTGGGATCGGGATAAATCGCTCAGCGTTCCGGAGCGCTCTCAGAGCGTTCCGGAACGCTCTGGAGCGGCCGCGGCGCCCAATACATCCTCCAAACCCGCCGATTCTCAGAGATTTCGAGTTATCCCGATCCGATCTTCGCGTCGTTTTAGTGGCTCCAGGCGGCCGCCCTGGGGCTGAGACACCTGGCCAGGCACTCTCCAAGCCGGGGCCAGGCGGCTCCGCCGCCGCGCGCTGTCGCGGGCCAGCGGGTCAGGGCTTGCCGCCGACCCTCCCGGCAGAAGAGTGCCGAGCTATTTAGCGGCCAGCCAGTTTCGAGGTATCACCATCGCACATTCAGTTGTATTGCTGGCGTGCGTTTCCGCTCCTCTGCCGAGCCCCCCAATCGCAAGAATCTTCACGGCCAGGCTGGAGCGATGGCCAGGCGAGGAAAAGCTTCCGGTAACGGACGCTTTGCAGTTGCCGAGGTCGAAGCTCATCCGAACATCTGGGACCGGAACCTTTCAGTGAGAGCTGGCGGCACGCCGCTGGCAACGACGCCACTGATAGAGTTGCAAAGATGGCTGCCGCCAGACCCCCGCGCCCCGCTGAAGCAGAGCGAGCGGTCAGGCTGACCGAGCCAAGCGCGCGGAACGATGCCTCGCGCACGTTCCGCGCGCGCGCTGGCTCCGCGGCCAGCGTTTGCCTTGGAGTCGGAGGCAGAGGCCCCGAGGCGTCCAAGGCAGAGTCCGAATATCCAAAAGTTGAGGCTGCTGCAGTCTCGGACCCGTGGCGGAGGGGAGCTCATCGTGGCGGCGGGCCCGCGGGATCTCGGGCTGCGGCGGCCCCCCCATCGCCGCCCCCATCGAGGGCGCGGCCCCCCGCGGTGCGCACGTCGTGCGCAAGTGGGCCCGGCAGGCACGCCGCTGCGTCTGTCGGCTCTGCCACTCGAGGCGCACCAGCTGCGAGCTCTCCCCTGACATCGGCCCCGGGAGAGGTGCCGAGGCCACGCCGTTGCCTTGGCCCAGCGAGCTGTCCCCTCTGACGGTCATTGGCTGCATGTCTTCGACGGGCTTCATGACGACAGCCTCATCCTAGCGGGCAGTGCTTGTGGCACGCACGCAGGGTGCTCCCTCAAAGGGCTTCACGAAATAAGCCCGAGAGAGTTTCGATGTATTGTTGCCAGTGGAGCCTGGTCCCTGCTGATTTCGGGAAGGTGCCCAGAGGCTTCAAAGAAGAGCTTTGTGGTCTTTGGGGACCCAGTCCCAATCGGAAGGGTGGCCCAAAGAGGCTTCCCCAGCCAAGCCTCCGATCTGCCGCAAGCGAAACCGAGCCCTTTTCCGGAAGCCGTGCGATAGTCCTCCCCTCCTCCTCTTCCTCCGTCTCCCTCTCTTCGGGCTGACCCAAAAAGGGGGTCCAGCGACAAGGGGGTGGTGCTATAGATTTGTGGGTTGCATTACATGTGGGGCGTGCAATACATTTCGGGGTGCAAATGTATGGCTGTACTTTCGCATGCAATGCATTACTTGCAATACAATGCAATATAATTGTCCGGCGCAATACATGTGCAATTCAATTGCCCCAAATATAATGCACCACCCCACTCAGCTGGACACCGTTTTGGGTCACCCAAATCTCCCTTTCCTACCTCCCCTCCTAACTGTTCTTGCTCCTCTCCCATCCTCCTCGTCCCTGCTCTCCGTCCGCATGCCGACGCGGGCACACCCACACACGCACGCCGTCCCACGCCCATGCCGGCACGCCCCTCGCACGTGGGGGCTACAAACACGGCCCCAATGAGCCCGCCCGCGTGGTGCACTTGGTGGTGCACTTGGTGCACCTGGCGTGCCCGACGCCAGTTGGCGCAGCATCGCCGCGCTGAGCACTTCGGCAGGCCACCCTGCTCGTTGAGTGGTGGAGTGCGGCCAAACCAGTGATTCTGTGTTGCGATGCAATGTGGAGAAATTAGCTGAGCACGCGAGCAGTAGCGCTCGACAGTGCCCCTGTGCCGAGTGACCGCTGCCACCGCATCTCATGACAGAGGCGCTCCTGAATCATTCAGGCAGAGGGTCACGTCGTTGATCTGAGTTGTACGCAGCAGGGAAGAATGAGGATCCGTAGTCCGTCGGCCAGGCCACCCTGGTGACCAGGGGGCCAACGAACAACCAAATAGACCTCCGAGCTGAAAATTGACGATTGCTGTGGCACACAACCGTCAGCTCTTTTGTTCGCCGCCTCCCCTCGGAGGCCTAGCTGGCCGACGGACCACGGGCGAGGACGAGAGGACGAGGCATCGGCAGAGCAGACGTAATCACCGCCAGCTCTCGTTCGTTGTTCGCCCGTCCTGCGTGTCGCCTATCGCCCGGCATCCTCGTCCGTCGTCCGTCGTTCGTCAGTCGGGCGCGTCGTCTCTCTGTTCTTTGCTGCTACGCTTTTTTCCGCTGGAGGAATATATCGTGTCGGACGAGAGGGGTGACAGGGAAAGGGGGGGGGACGAAGTCTGTCGCATGCGGCTGGTTTCCGGCCCTGCTGCTGGGCGCGCTCTCGATACATTGGAGCCTTCTGGCGCCAGCAAAATCAGCTACGTCATCTGATTCGCCAACCCGCCTTTTGCGCTACCGTTGACAGGAAACTTTGCAACAAACGTTGCGGAACCACTTCGCGTGCCCCCCCCTCCGCACCCTGGCCTTGATATGGAGCAGACCTCCCCGGAGAGGCTGGGCCGAAGAAGGCCCTGAACCCGACCTCTTGAGCGCCATGCCTGCCACGGTCACCTACGGCCCGGGGGGGCGGAGGGGGGAAGCTGTTTTTCTCATCCGGGTGCTGTACCTGCACCGTTTTCTTTTTCCATCCGCCGCCTCCCCCCCCGCTCTTCTCGGGCCGGACGAAAGGGGGGATTGCGAAAGGGGGGGGTACGAAATTTGCTGCATGCAGCTGGTTTCGGCCTCACCGAGGGGCCCATTCCTCGATACATAGCCGCCTCCGGCGCCGGCGGCGGGAAAATCAGCTACGCGCTTTGATTCTCCCCACCCCCCCCTACGCCCGACCCGATCTTCCGATCCGAATCTCAAGAGAGCACGGCCAGCTCGCCGTTCCGATCTTCGCCCCCCCCCGCGGCCGTCCCTTGGCTCCACCGAGACAGGAGAGGCCCCACGCCCTCCGCCCGCG